TGCCACATATGCATCATCTTTGAACATTCACCGTTTCCCTAGAATAATATATTATTTATCGATCTGACACGTTTCTTCCTCTTTTCACACGGAAGTATAGCAATTACAATGACGTAGAAAATAACTAGTTGTCCCTGCAATAAAACACGCGACTCAGACAGCCAGGCTAAAGCAGTCAAGGAATCGAAACAAAATTGTATTGTCACTTTTTCATAAAAAGATAGAAACTTCTGAGACAATCAAAGTACAATCGAAGTTCAAAGCATTCAAGCCACATCGCATTCAATACATAGAATGAGCTCGAAGGAAGTCAAAGATATCTCTATCACGATCACGAGTTTTCACTTGAAATTCGTTGGATTTTGGATAGCGGACAATCACACTGAGAGGCTCTGGATGAATTTTGCATTGTTTTATACATTCGGCGGCATTTTTTTCTCTCTAACGGTCGAAATGAGGGACTTGTATTTCACTTGGGGAGATTTTGGCGTAAGTGAAGAACATAAATTAACAACTGGAAAGATCAAGTCGAGAATTTGGCAAGTTTCTTCGCAGCGATTTTAAACAACGTTCAAGTAAAGAACATCCCAATTACAGGACACTATTTACATTACGTGCAACGTTATAACTATCATTTTGGTTCTAATGAAAATCTTCGTCTTGTTAATATATTACGATGAGCTGCAAGACATAATTCATTATGCGAAAAGGAACTTTTGGCACCTGGATTACGACTCGTACGAGCAAATGATTATAAATAAATGTAAACGTACTTGCACCATCTTCGTCTGCATTTTTACTTTCTTCGCTGAGGGAACAGTTGCCACTTATGTAATAAGACCGCTTATAGGTAAGATATTTAAGCCTAAATTAATTATTATAAGATAAAATACCTTTTTTTTCGACGAATGTGTGTGTGTATCTTAACCGGAGATCATTTGTTATTAATTTTAATAATAAAGCACGCTTTTAACACAACACTTTAATAGTGGAATATGTCAAATATAATTAAGCAATTAATTGTTGGAATTGTTTCATCGATATCATAGCTTGCGAAAGAAATTGCTAGCATTTTTCCAAAAAATAATGATTTGGTCTTTAAAAAGAATTATGTCTAGGTGGGCTCCTACTTTTTCGATAAAATTGAAAAGGCATAATCTATAATAGGAAATGAGAGCCGTAATTCATTCATCAGAGTGAAATGAAATTTCTGAATATAAGGGATGGGGAAAGGACTCCGTATATAGCAGCAACTTAGCTGCTGGTTTTCATTAGCTTTGGAGGTATTGATGAAAAATTTTGAGTACAATATATTGAATTCTACTCATATAGATATTACTATAAAAGATTAACAAGTATATTCTATATTCTATATTCTATATAAATATTAAATACTAAAGTATATTCTATACAAATATTCTATATTAATATAAATATTAAAGTATATTCTATACAAATATTAAGGAAAACGGCATTTTCATAAAACCTGTATCAATTTCAGGATTATTTTCCATCTCCAGTGCAATAGATTTGTTGGAACGCAAATAAATTAGAGTATATACAATAGGAGTCCACTGAATTTCTCTATACGTGATTTTACATAATAAGAATTCGAGTTGAAATAAGTGGATTCCATCAACAAATCGGATATTAATTAAAATTTAATTCAAATAAATGGAATACATATAGATAGAGTTCTCCTTCTGAAAATTGGAGTTTACTGATTCACACCTCTACTAATAATTTTTCATATAATAGCTTGAAATTGGACTAAAAGTTCAAATAAATGAAGTTCATGCAAAATGGAGTTTTAATGTACGTATTGTCATCTTATCCTATTAAGGACAGGAAACGTGTTATAATTAGAAAATTATAAAGAATTAAATTGTAATTAAATAAAAAATTCAAAATTAAAGTCCAAAAAGAAACGGACTAAAAGATAGATTAATTCAAACAATCTTTTATATCGCACTAGTAAAAGAACAATGAGAACAAATGATTCTAGTTTAGATTATTTTCATTTACATTATAAGATTATTTGCTCAGCAATTAAGGCGAGATTCTAGCTTCCGCAACGATTTTCCGATACTGAAATACAATACATACACGTATTATGAAACCCAAGTATCGGTGCATGTATCAGAACATGTATCAACGTGTATAGGTGCCTTAATAATTTCTAATAATTTTCAAGTCAAAAGACATGATTATAATCCTGTGTAAAGAATAATCATACCTAACCAGAATCACCATAGTAATTTAAAATTGTGAACATGTAGACGCAATCGATTACAAACACACACGTGTATTTATATTGTATTCAATATAAACGATTACTAATAATTAGACAACGAGTATCTATGTAATATTATAT